GGTGATGGGTTAAAAGCAGAGGTCACATTTGTTTGTGTGCAGTGGTATGCTGTGTCACAATGACAAGTAGTTCACTTTCTTTCCTTCTTTCAATAAACAGTCAAAGGTCACAAGGTTGACAAGGTTGAGTCAGGAACACACTCAAATTCCGATTTTAATTTGAAGCTCTGAACATAACCTTGGACACCATAAGGACGCATGGTGTTAAAAGAGTGTACCCACTTTGTAGTACAGTGAAGATTGTAGGGGTGTAAAGGTGCACACAAGTCACGGTTCGGTATGTACCTCGGTATGGGGGTCGCGGTTCGGTACATTTTCGGTACGGGTTCAGTACAATGGGAAAAAAAGCAACAAAAACTCACACATGTATAAGACTACCTTTTTTCATTTATTTCGTACAGATATTATCTGACCACAAAACTAAAATGAATTAGGAGAGTACTCCTACCATTCATTCATTTTGTTCATACATAGGAAAAGAAAAAAAAAACATAATTTCTTGTAGGGATAAACTGAGGTATTCAGGTAGCAACTGGAAACTTTGGTAACTTCATTATAAGAAAATAGCATTCGTTACTAACACAGTACAATGTAAACAGTGAAAATACTCTCACATTAGCAATATTGCTATACTGGCACAAGTCGAAACAAAAAATTTCAAATAGTACCAATAATGAAAATCTCTTGCAAATATTACCAAAACAGGTAATGAGTGTTTCAATTACTCCAGGCTAGCATAGCATATAGCATATAGCATAAAGAAAATACGCTATGCTTGTAAATGACAGGGACCACAGACTGGCTGATGTACGTGTGCTTGAAGCCGGGCTCCTCTACTACAGCATATGGGCGCATAGATGTGGATGTGTATATGCCAATTGCTTCCGTTATCTTTTTGGCCCTGTCTGTGCTAACACCAAGAAGCTGATTAAATGCAGTGGAAATAAGTTGCTGCACACTCGTTCTCTTCTTCGGTACAGTGGCAGATATATCGGGGTGATGATCGTACCACGTGCCGTCATCGTTATGTTGCACCGGGAAACCGTAGCGTCTCCACACGGGTGATTTAAATGAGGCCGGCGGCTCTTTCGACTCCACATCATGTTCCACACTCTCACCCACATGCTTTGTCACTTTTCTTCTCTATCTGCTTTTCTTCTTCTTCTGTGGGCTAATGACGGTTGCTGGCAGCGTTTAGGCTCATTACTGCCAAATAAATTGAAGTGAGGACTTGATTTTGTTTTTTTTTTAATAGGCTACTCACTCAGACGTATTCGCCGCGTGACTGCGTGCACCGAACCGTGATGCCCGTACCGTGACACCGCAGGACGAACACATATACTGTTACACCCCTAGAAGCTTGGGTTAGGACTCACCATAACTCGCTAAACCCACTAAACTCACTTCATCATACACTTGTACCCCTCAGGAAAACCCAAATTCCCAGACACACTTTTGCCTGAAAACCTGTGCAAACCTGAGCCATCTTCACGCTGATTTCTTCAGTCGCTGTAGCCATATTGAGTTCCGTCGCGCCTCAGACTCTCAGCCATCATTCTCGCATCCACACCTTTGATATAAAATACTATAGACCTGTTGCCTGGATGTCATGAAGTTCTTGATAGACTGGGGTTTATCCATATGAAGAACACTACCTTCTGTTATCTTCGCCCAATAGGATCCAGCTTGGCTTTCAACATCTTAATGTTTTTTTACTCTTCCAGAAAAAGAGAACCCTGCAGGAATCCATTGCACCGCCGCCCATGACCATCATGTACCCTACCGCATCTGAATTAGATCCATCATCTCCCAAGACATCATTATTAAAAAGGCCCAGTAGAGGATAAGGCGACTGATATTGGTACGCCTCAAGCCATGTTTTAGGTATTGTTTGTTTTACCTGTGCAACCAGTGTAGTCTCTGCGTTAATGAGAGCCGCCGTGCTGCTGTCACAAACGTCTTTAATAATCTCACGGAGTTCATACAGAACAAAAATAATTTTTTCCTCCTGGACACTGCCTGAGCCCCTCTCCCCACAAAGTCCGAAGAACGAGAGAGCTAACAGGCGGAACAACCCACATCAGGCAGGTACAAAACAAAACAATAAAACAATTTTGTGTAATTATAACTACATAACTACTAACCTCTGCTACATCTGTGCTATTTTCCTTAGACATCTGTAGCATTTCCTACATAGACCACGTGAATGCACAGCCCTCTGTGATCCTTTTGCTACTCTTATTGCCTCACAGTACAGAAATGTTCAGCCATAAAGCACCACCTCTCACCATATATCAGCCGAGGAGCACATTGTTCCTTTTGTCCTGCTGGTTCCTTAATGTACAGTCTTGGCCTTTGACGATGGAAAAGTGCATACTTCCAACAGTCAGGGGGAAGCGTTGGTTCAAGGATAAAAAAAAAAAAGTCTCCTCTTTATTTCGAGCTCCTTGAGTGATTACCGTGGGCCCTCTGATATACAGAGTGCCTTGTTTTACAGGAATCTACTGGGGCCCCCATGACTCCAGTTTAATGCCTAGCCATAGATGGGACAGACTCCGAGGGCCTTTATGCTAACAGATGGCTCAGTGATTTAGGTGTTCCTAGATTACCCTGGAACCCCCTGCATTTCAGTAACCCCGAAACAATTTCATGTAACATAATTTAGGACAAAAAAAAAATATTGTTGGCCCTTTCAATGATCATAAATGGGAACATTTATATTGTCTGTCAGACTTTACTGGCTTCGACACTTCGACACAAGAACCAAGAAATGGGTTCTCCCTTCCAGGGCTTTGAGAGAAAAAGATACTTGTTGTCTGCCAGTTGATCCATCCATCCATCCATTTTCATCCGCTTATCCGTTACCGGGTCGCGGGGGCAGCAGTCTTTATGACCACCACCCAAATCACACTGCACCGTACCAACCCCCCTGAACCTTCCTGCAGGTGGTGAGTCCACTGGAAGGTACCAACCGCCCTAACTGGGATTCGAACTTGCCCAGGAGGTGAACCCTGGGGTTCCACACCAATAACAGAGACATTGCCTCTGGGCCAAAGCG